TTCTAATGTCATTATAAATACTGGATACTCATCTAAGTGTTCTGATGTCACTATGAACACTGAATAGATACGCATCTAAGCGCTCTGATGTCACTATAAACACTGAATACGCATATAAGAGCTCTGATGTCACTATGACACTCTAAACACTGGATACGCATCTAAGCGCTCTGATGTCACTATAAACACTGAATACGCATATAAGAGCTCTGATGTCACTATGAACACTCGATACACATCTCAGCGCTCTGATGTCACTATGAACACTGGATACTCATCTTAGTGTTCTGATGTCACTATAAACACTGGATACTCATCTAAGTGTCCTGATGTCACTATGAACACTGGATACGCATCTAAACACTCTTATGACACTATCAACACTGGAAACGCATCTATAAGCGCGCTCTGATGGCACTCTAAACACTGGATACGCATCTAAGCCCACTGATGTCACTATGAACACTGGATGCACATCGAAGCGCTCTCATGTCACTTTAAACACTAGATACGCATCTAAGCGCTCTGATGTCACTATAAACACTTGATACTCATCTAAGTGTTATGATGTCACTATAAACACTGGAAACTCATCTAAGTGTTCTGATGTCATTATCATAACACTTGATACTCATCTAAGTGTTATGATGTCACTGAACACTGGATGCATATCGAAGCGCTCTCATGTCACTTTAAACACTAGATACGCATCTAAGCGCTCTGGTGTCACTATAAACACTTGATACTCATCTAAGTGTTATGATGTCACTATAAACACTGGAAACTCATCTAAGTGTTCTGATGTCATTATCAACACTGAATACGCATCTAAGCGCACTGATGTCACTATGAACACTGGATGCATATCGAAGCGCTCTGATGCCACTTTAAACACTAGATACGCATCTAAGCGCTCTGATGTCACTATTAACACTTGATACTCATCTAAGTGTTATGATGTCACTATAAACACTGGAAACTCGTCTAAGTGTTCTGATGTTATTATAAAGACTGGATACGCATCTAAGCGCTCTGATGTCACTAAGAACACTGGACACGCATCTAAACGCTCTTATGACACTATCAACACTGGAAACGCATCTATAAGCGCGCTCTGATGGCACTCTAAACACTGGATACGCACCTAAGTGCACTGATGTCACTATGAACACTGGGTGCACATCGAAGTGCTCTGATGTCACTATAAACACTTGATACTCATCTAAGTGTTATGATGTCACTATAAACACTGGAAACTCGTCTAAGTGTTCTGATGTTATTATAAACACTGGATACTCATCTAAGTGTTCTGATGTCACTATAAAAATTGGATACTCTTCTAAGTGTTCTGATGTCACTATGAACACTGGATACGCATCTAAGTGTCCTGATGTCATTATAAACACTGGATACTCATCTTAGTGTTCTAATGTCATTATAAATAATGGATACTCATCTAAGTGTTCTGATGTCACTATGAACACTGAATACGCATCTAAGCGCTCTGATGTCACTATGAACACTGGATACGCATCTAAACGCTATCATGTCACTATGAAAATTGGATACGCATCTAAGCGCTCTTATGACACTATCAACACTGGATACGCATCTAAGCGCTCTGATGGCACTCTAAACATTGGATACGTATCTAACTGCTCTGATGGCACTATCAACACTGGATACGCTTCTAAGCGCTCTAATGTCGCTATGAACTCTGGATACGGATCTAACTGCACTGATGTCACTATGAACACTGGATACGCATCTAAGCGCTCTGATGTCACTATGAACACTGGATACGCATCTAATCGCTCTGATGTCACTAAGAACACTGGATACGCATCTAAACGCTCTTATGACGCTATCAACACTGGAAACGCATCTATAAGCGCGCTCTGATGGCACTCTAAACACTGGATACGCACCTAAGCGCACTGATGTCACTATGGACACTGGATGCACATCGAAGCGCTCTGATGTCACTATAAACACTTGATACTCATATAAGTGTTATGATGTCACTATAAACACTGGAAACTCGTCTAAGTGTTCTGATGTTATTATAAACACTGGATACGCATCTAAGTGGTCTGATGTCACTATAAAACTTGGATACTCTTCTAAGTGTTCTGATGTTATTATAAACACTGGATACGCATCTAAGGGTTCTGATGTCACTATAAAAATTGGATACTCTTCTAAGTGTTCTGATGTCACTATGAACACTGGATACGCATCTAAGCGCTATGATGTCACTATGAACACTGGATACGCATCTAAACGCTCTTATGACGCTATCAACACTGGAAACGCATCTATAAGCGCGCTCTGATGGCACTCTAAACACTGGATACGCACCTAAGCGCACTGATGTCACTATGAACACTGGATATTCATATAAACGCTCTGATGTCACTATGAACACTTGATACTCATATAAGTGTCCTGATGTCATTATAAACACTGGATACTCATCTGAGTGTTCTAATGTCATTATAAATACTGGATACTCATCTAAGCGCTCTGATGTCACTATGAACACTCGATACGCTTCTAAGTGCTCTGATGTCACTATGAACACTGGATACGCATATAAACGCTATCATGTCACTATGAAAATTGGATACGCATCTAAGCGCTCTTATGACACTATCAACACTGGATACGCATCTAAGCGCTCTGATGGCACTCTAAACACTGGATACGTATCTAACTGCTCTGATGTCACTATGAACACTGGATACGCATCTAAGTGTTCTGATGTCGCTATGAACTCTGGATACGTATCTAACTGCACTGATGTCACTATGAACACTGGATACGCATCTAAGCGCTCTGATGTCCCTATGAAAACTGGATACGCATCTAAGAGCTCTGATGACGCTATCAACACTGGAAACGCATCTATAAGCGCGCTTTGATGGCACTCTAAACACTGGATACGCATCTAAGTGTTATGATGTCACTATAAACACTGGAAACTAATCTAAGTGTTCTGATGTCTTTATTAACACTGGATACGCATCTAAGCGCTCTGGTGTTACTATAAACACTTGATACTCATCTAAGTGTTATGATGTCACTATAAACACTGGAAACTCGTTGAAGTGTTCTTATGTTATTATAAACACTGGATACTCATCTAAATGTTCTGATGTCACTATAAAAATTGGATACTCATCTAAGTGTTCTGATGTCACTATGAACACTGAATACGCATCTAAGCGCTCTGATGTCACTATGAACACTAGATACGCATCTAAACGCTATCATGTCACTATGAAAATTGGATACGCATCTAAGCGCTCTTATGACACTATCAACACTGGATACGCATCTAAGCGCTCTGATGGCACTCTAAACACTGGATACGCATCTAAGCGCTCTGATGTCACTATGAACACTGGATACGCATCTAAACGCTATCATGTCACTATGAAAATTGGATACGCATCTAAGCGCTCTTATGACACTATCAACGCTGGATACGCATCTAAGCGCTCTGATGGCACTCTAAACACTGGATACGCATCTAAGCGCTCTGATGTCACTATGAACACTGGATACGCATATAAGCGCTATGATGTCACTAAGAACACTGGATACGCATCTAAACGCTCTTATGATGCTATAAACACTGGAAACGCATGTATAAGCGCGCTCTAATGGCACTCTAAACACTGGATACGCATCTAAGCGCACTGATGTCACTATGAACACTGGATACACATCGAAGCGCTCTGATGTCACTTTAAACACTAGATACGCATCTAAGTTTTATGATGTCACTATAAACACTGAAAACTCGTCTAAGTGTTCTGATGTTATTATAAACACTGGATACGCATCTAAGCGCACTGATGTCACTATAAAACTGGATACTCTTCTAAGTGTTCTGATGTCACTATGAACACTGGATACGCATCTAAGCGCTCTTATGTCACTATGAACACTGGATACGCATCCGAGCGCTCTCAAGTCACTATGAACACTGGATACGCATCTAAGCGCTCTCATGTCACTATGAACACTGGATACGCATCAAAACACTCTCATGTCATTATGAACACTGATTACGCATATACGCGCTCTAATGCCACTCTTAACACTGGATACGCATCTAAGCGCTCTGGTGTCACTTTAAACACTGGATACGCATCTAAGCGCTCTGATGTAACTATGAACACTGGATACGCATCTAAGCGCTCTGGTGTCACTGTGAACACTGGATACGCAACTAAGCACTCTGGTGTCACTATGAACACTGGATACGCATCTAAGCGCTCTCATGTCCCTATGAACACTGAATACGCATATAAGCGCTCTGATGTCACTCTATACACTGGATACGCATCTAAGCGCTCTGATGTCACTCTAAACACAGGATACGCATCTAAGCACTCTCTTGTCACTTTGAACACTGAATACGCATATAAGCGCTCTGATGTCACTATAAACACTGAATACGCATCTAAGCGCTCTCATGTCAATATGAACACTGGATACGCATCTTAGCGCTCTCATGTCATTCTAAACACTGGATACGCATCTAAGTGCTCTGATGTCACTATAAACACTGAATACGCTTCTAAGCGCTCTGATGTCACTATAAACACTGAATACGCATCTAAGCGCTCTCATGTCAATATGAACACTCGATACGCATCTTAGCGCTCTGATGTCATTCTAAACACTGGATACGCATCTAAGTGTTCTGATGTCACTATAAACACTGGATACGCATCTAAGTGTTCTGATGTCACTATGAACACTGAATACGCATCTTAGCGCTCTGATGTCACTATGAACACTGGATGCACATCGAAGAGCTCTGATGTCACTTGAATCACTGTAAGCTGTCCACTGTCTACTGTAAGCAAATATAGAAATTGGCAAAATATGGTTTTCTTCGAGACGATTTTGGGAACATAGATTATTTTCCGCATATCATTTAACTGAACATATATAAATGAGAAAACACGTCGATTTTATTGTATAATTTTATTTCCGTACTGCAGGATAAACAGCTATGATATATATATAGGACAGGTTTAACCTTTAGGCTTAATCTCCAACCGTGTTATTTATATAGGTAAAACGAAAGACACTTCGTAAGACTATATATAGATGTAAAGTCTTATAAATCTTAAACTAGACTTGATGACACCCGTAATCATAGCGACACCGTGCGTGTAATTATACAATATATATAACACATGAATACAGGTTTACACACCTGACGTCGAGGAGAATTTCCAGTGTCTTTTATATGATAACACTTCACAGGGAATAATCTATTTAAAAGGATAGCAGTGCAGATAGTTACAGAAAGCCAAGCAACGCTAACATGTTATAACACCATAATAACTCTTATCTGTGAACACTGTAACATGTTCCGTACTCCCCTAGATCTAGACTGTCCCACTGTTGTCCTTCATTGTTCTTAATGCACGTACCCGACATTCGGAGCGTATCATGCATTTCTCAGCTCGATCATGAGAGGTTTACCCTGTTGAGCAAAGCAGTGGCTATATCAAGGGACCATCACGGACAGTGCTGATTTGTTGAAAAGGCTGAAAGCGACGATGCCGTTTCATTCAGATAATTAAGTCATAAGGTGGGGGTGCTGATGGTTGTAAATATGAGGAAATCGGCACCGATTTCTCGAAATCAAGACGCCATTGTGAATCATACAAAGGCGGCATGTCATCTCTTAATATCTCGGTTTCTCTGGTAACCGTTGTTATATTGTGAGTTTTATTTAATGTTTCTGAACAAGGAAATGGGTGCTGAACTGACGGTTTTGGCCATTGCGAACAGACGTCTGTACATACGTGTGAAGTGAAAAAGTTTAGGATAGCCTTTTCCCCGCAATCGTCTGGTCCATATTTCTTTCCAACAGAATGCATGGAAGGTGATGTAAGTTTGAACTTTTTACCTTGATTAAATGTCCCTCCCTTCAGTCCCGTCACAATTTCTTGCCCTTTCGACTCGTTGTAAACGAAATGGACGAACTCCTGCAGTTCACCACAACAGGTTGCGTTCACCGTCCCGTCACGTTCGATGAAAGTTTCGAAGTTTTTCCCGAGATCTTGTTCAAATACTACCACATCATCTTCGCGCAGACGGCGTTTATGACGTTTGTCGCTAGAACGGATGTGTCGGGTAAACACCGATATCTGGTCCATTTCTGCAGAACGAAGTTCTAGGAAGGTTATTGTCTTTCTTCTATATTTCTGTAAGTATTTCTCGACCGTTTCTTTGCTTGCAATGTAACACAAACTGCGCTGATATGAAGAGTCTGGGTCATTTTCTGTTTTCTGCTTGAAAACTTTAACCACGTGATCTCCCGCCAGATAATCTGTTGTGGCACCCTTATAAACTACTAGTCTCTGACCAGAAGTGGATAGCCGGAAGTCAAAGAATGCACACGGCCCGGATTCCGAATTCAGTGTTTCATTTTGAAACAAAGCTCCTATTTGACTCCCCATTATACCTCTTAAATCTGTAAAAATAAAAAAATAAATGATAAAGATTTCAGCACATTTTTTTTTTTTTTTTAAGTATTGAAATTTTCGAATTCCAATTGATATGAAAAGAAAAGCTGTCTGCAAAATCACAATACAATAGTATTCCGTATGAATGAAATTTAAGGAAGTTATATTAATTTTGTTAAAGTAAAAAATTAATATATTATTTACTCTACTTTATATAAAATAACATCAGCAAAACACACTGCATTAATATTCTGTATAAATATATGTTAGTAGTTTAGTCTATACAAAACAGACTTACATTTGTACGGTTCGCTCGTTGTATCACAGCACAGTAAGCAGAGAAGGAATGGGCTCTTACACGAGAAACATGAATTTAAATGTAAACATAAGATGCATGTTTTAGTTAAGCATGTGATATGTTTTTTAATCAAAACTTGGTCAAAGATTTTCCGAGAAAAACAAGGTATACAGTGAAAATTTCCATGTTATTGTTAGCAGCACATACGTGGGGATATACCTCACTTATTTATAGTGACAGGAAATGACGCTTTCCTCCGAGTAGAACCTATGTTTAGTTTATGTATTTCATACACGGTGTATTTATATACACAGATTGCAGTACTCAGTCTTACCCTAGTCTTTCATATCTGGATTTAGATTTTTAATTTCAATACACCATTGAGTTACAAACACAAAGGGATGGAAATGATTTTGAATATATAATTTATTTTGTACAACCGAAAAATGTTTTAATTATATCTATGATAAACGATATTAAATGGTGCTTACAGCTTATGTAGTTTCGTTCTCTGTGCAGAACACATTATCAAGTACGTGTACAGTTTCTTTCAAGACATTTATTGATGCTTACACTCTATATTCACGTCGTAGTACATAAGTAGTGTGTAACAGATTTCCAGTTATAACTCTACTAGACATTGCCTGTGGGTAAAATAAAGACACCCGTTTAAGTTTGAAATTCGAACGTTGTAAGAGTTGTTTCCCCTGAATTAACACATAACTATATAATATGTCCAAGTACATGACATTTTTCTCAGCTTATAAGTGAAATTAATAACAATTAAAATGTTATTTAATGTATTAGTGAAATACAGAAGACATTGTAGAAATTGTAGATGAACAACTTCGAGTCCAATCTAAATATGAAAATATCCAAATTTTATGACAGCTTACTTCCAGAAAGTCTGTCCTTATGGATACGTTCCCACAACAGTTATACGTATTGCCTTGTTAAAGAGCAATCGTAGCTCGCGTGTAATGCATGCTTTATGATGATATGATCTTTTCGGCGCTGAATCCATTTTATTTTATTTTCCATGTATCAGTCATCTGGTACAATGTTTGTGTACAAAGACGGTCGAGTCTATTACATCAAGGCGGAGAAAAGCAGTGGAATTTTTTGCAGGTCTGAGATACCCTGGTATATAACATAATTTCCTTAAATAGAATGTATCAATGCAAAGCACGGGTGAAATTTCCAGGAATGTGGGCTATTTTTATCTTTTCATTTACATTTAGAAACATCACGTGATATTTACTTTAGATCACAGTACAGCTTCGAATTTTTAACTTCGTGTTTGTAGTGAATAATTTCCTAGAAGTACAGTGTTATCATACGTTCGACCTCAGGCATGATAACGTGAATTTGTTTGTGATAAATATTACATACAGTCATACACACATTGTCGCTATGATAACAAGTCTATGTCATCAAATAGTATCAAGGCTTACGTCAAATCCATATTAAGATTGACGAAACGAATTTTGGTAATCTTACATTAAAAGATAAGTATGAGTATTTATGATTGCTGTTCGAATCGACAAGGTCACACAAGAGGGAAATTCGTTATTCTGATTTGTGTCCGGGCTTTCTGGATTATACTTAAATAATGTATGCACACCAGCGGATTGTTATGTATCTTATTTAAACTGTCTGGCGTCAACAATATTTGTCATTTAATCTCAATTCAAGCGCTTTTTAAAATCTACGATAACAGTTATATGTCAATTAGATATGTGTTAGCAGGATTATAGTCATTTTTGAAACTGCTCGAATATATCATAATCTGAGCCCAAAACATTATTGCTAAGAACCAAGTCAAAGTGAGTATAGGCAGTTCAACGGTTGTGGACGATGATGAAATGTTTTCACAATGTGTTTTTTTTGTGATATTATGTTTCTTTATTTCTTGTCATTTATATAAATTTGGCTTCATGCTCTTTACATTTGTATGTGTAGCCTACAAAAGTGTCTGTCAACACTCAAGTATGCATGACCTACGTGTCTGATACTCTCAAACAAATACAACGGCCATGTCACATATTAGTTTTAACCATTTATCACTGTAGCACTTTCTCATCTGCTGTTACCATTCTAGCAAGTGTAGAACACAAAATGCACACCGTGGTTATAATACGTGTGGTTTTGGGTACCTGATTGTAACCATTCCTGATATAGGAAATAAACATCGATAAAGTATGTATACCCGTGTGTTAACACGGGGAAGTTCTGGTAAAGTATTTGAGTCATTCAGCCAGTCACGAGTGAAGAAACAACGAAAGGTAGGAAAGTTACAGGTTTTAACGAAGGTTGTCTATGTGATGGGAGGAAAGGTACCGATATACTTTAAACTATATCCGTGTTTGATGAAGTTAACGAGGCTCGCTAAACAGAACTAAAACTTGTACTGATGCACAGGGAATTAATTACATAGATGCTTGCTCATTATTTCTATCATGTACTTGCATAGTTACTTTTTCATGGAAGCTTTATTCATGCTATTGTGTCAATCTGTTCTACAATCAAAATGCCGTGCACCTGTGTATGATTCAATACACATTACACAGCTTGGTGCCATATTCTTAACAAGTAGTCATGTTATGATCATAACGGAACTCACCATTTATGTAGCAAGACTCTCCATTACACCTGCCCGTGTATAACAGCTTTGCTGTTGTGAAATACAAGATACCTTCAGGAAATTTGTTTAATTTTTGCATAAGTAGCATATTTTATGACATTGACGATTCTATATTATTAACATTTTATAGAAGAATTTATTTTTACACGGTTTTTATCAATACACTCAAAGAATACGTTATTCTAACATTATATAGGGTTTTATATGTGTCTTAAATAGAGGAAATGGTATATGGCGCAGTAAAATATTTGGTTGGTAATGCATTCTTGGTACATGCCGCGCACGTGGAAAATTGGGCAACTCTCCTCCTATATCGGATGTGGCACATTATTTTGTGTGATAAATACTGTACAGTCATACACACGTGGTCGCTTATATAAAAAGTCGATGTCATCATATTTGAAGATTTACATCAAGTATATATTTAAGATTGACGAAACGACTTTCGTTATACATATATAATGTACGACAGTGCTGTGTAATTTCCAACACCTCATACCTGGCATATATTAGTCACAGCTGCAGATAAATATTTACATCATTTCTGAAGTTTGAATTTTGATGTGCGCTTACATAGAAACATCACTTTGGTTAACCGAAAACCGGTATTAATACGGATAATTTTCATTTTTATGTTGATATTCTCTCCGTAACCTATAACTGTCACGTCAGTATGATTTGTTTAATTATCTGTTGCAGTATATTTCAGATACAGTTTTTCCAAGTAGTTCATCATGGAAGTCAATTGCCTATAAAGCAGTTTATAATTGGGAAGAATTAATGATGTACGATAGAATGAACAACGATTCAGATTTCACAAGATTTTTGCTCATTCATGATGTAATTTCTCCACATATTTTATGGACAGTAGCATTAAAATACCCTGAACATCTAAGCAAGATAAGCAATATAGCTCGATTATGTGCTAATTTAAGATCAACAAATATTATTGAATTATGCCATTTTTGTGGTATTTTACATAATGACTGTATAACACATATAGTACTCCATTGTACAAAAACTGAAAGTCTTAGAGACGATCTATAGTGTCTTATAAGTACGGCTTTTAATATAGAACTTGGCGTGTTCTTATACTTTTTGTCTGATTATGATTTAATTCATGTATTACTTGGGGGTAGCCTTCCCCACATATTAAGCTCAACTGATTATGTAACCTTTGTACTGCATAATGCTATTTTTATTGACAAAATGTTGCTGTTGTATCAGCGTTAATAATGATATAACACGTACAAACGTACGTACAATAGCAATGTCTACCTAATTACTACTTTTTCTCTTATTTTGTGTGTGTTTATGTGTGGGTAAGCCTGAGAGGACCTTGCTTGTAGGGCTTTCCCCAACTCTTGGAAACCTCAGGAGTCCCAGGCATTATAATTAATTTGGATGATTTGCTGTTAACGAGACCATTCTTTCTGTATTTACTGAACTAATTCATGAGTCATTAACTTCTCTCTTCATCTCTGTAGTTAACTGATGTATTTATGTGCATGTAAGTATCAATTCATAATATTTGATTTGTATTTTGACTACACTGTATATTTTTGTAACTCTTCAATTTGGAGGAAATAAAGAAATAATAATAATGATCACAACGGAACTCACCATTTATGTAGCAAGACTCTCCATTACACCTGCCCGTGTAAAACAGCTTTGCTGTTGTGAAATACAAGATACCTTCAGGAAATTTGTTTAATTTTTGCATAAGTAGCATATTTTATGACGTTGACGATTCTATATTATTAACATTTTATAGAAGAATTTATTTTTACACGGTTTTTATCAATACACTCAAAGAATACGTTATTCTAACATTATATAGGGTTTTATATGTGTCTTAAATAGAGGAAATGGTATATGGCGCAGTAAAATATTTGGTTGGTAATGCATTCTTGGTACATGCCGCGCACGTGGAAAATTGGGCAACTCTCCTCCTATATCGGATGTGGCACATTATTTTGTGTGATAAATACTGTACAGTCATACACACGTGGTCGCTTATATAAAAAGTCGATGTCATCATATTTGAAGATTTACATCAAGTATATATTTAAGATTGACGAAACGACTTTCGTTTTACATATATAATGTACGACAGTGCTGTGTAATTTCCAACACCTCATACCTGGCATATATTAGTCCCAGCTGCAGATAAATATTTACATCATTTCTGAAGTTTGAATTTTGATGAGCGCTTACATAGAAACATCACTTTGGTTAACCGAAAACCGGTATTAATACGGATAATTTTCATTTTTATGTTGATATTCTCTCCGTGACCTATAACTGTCACGTCACAAATGTAAATGCCCTAAATGTCAGATACTCTCAAAAGAAACCACAAGGCCGTGTTACATATAATTTTTCAGTTTAACAATTTATCATTGCAGCTATCACGTTATCACGCTACTA